GCAGGGGTCCGCAGATCCAAGGCCCATGCAGGCAGGACCCATGCAACCCCCCAGTGCCAGGCAGTCTACAGTAACAGGGAAGCAGCTATTGTATAGTGTAAGTGAGGTGCTGAACAAGATAGAAGGTGCATAATCAATTGTTACTAGGTAGGTGCCCTAAGCTACTGAATACTTTATTTAACTAGCACTCAAGGTACAGGTAAGAAGTCATAAGTACCTACTAAGTAGGTATGGAATCCAAAATTCCGAGTCCTCAACTGGGTAACTAGTGTAGTCACACTACCCGGTTAGTATATATTTGCCTATCTATTCTCAAGTGCATCCACGGCAGATTAATGGGATTTTGTCTGTACCATTCTTAGAATCACAGTTGCTACACGTCTGATTCCCGCCCTCGCGCATACAAGCTACCGAACCGACGGGACGATCCCGTTGCTTCCACCGTCTCCCGAGGCAAACTATGAAAAGAGGGTCGTGGGGAACAAAAAACGTGGGATTATTAGAACTTGATAAACTTGTTAGGGTATAGTAGATAGGTGGGTAGCGACGTAGCGTGAGAAGAGACGAGCCTCGGCTTGGTTACTGTAGGTACCTGGCTATTTCTGCGGGGCCCGAGGATCCGCTTACTTCATTTCATTGAGTGAGTACAAATGTAGTAGCTTCGTTCTCTCAAGTCGTGTAACAGAATTAATTTCATCCAATAGTAGTCAAATATTTATTAATTAATTGTGTTGTTCTAGTGAGAAGGAAAGAAGAGATATATTCACATATACATATACCATTCTATGTACACACAATGTCGAACTCAGTCAAGGTTTCATACTCGGGGCGCATAGCCACCATCACCATCGACAACGACAAGAAGCTCAACGCCCTGGATATGGACGGATACTACGCCATTGCCAAGGCCCTGCGCGAAATTGCCGTGCGCGACGACATTTACATCACCATCCTGACCGGAAAGGGTCGGTATTTCTCCGCGTAAGTCCATCCCAGTCAGATGGTCTCCGTCAGATGAGATAACACTATACACATACATATCGAGCACTCGAGGGGGGAATTAAGACACCCGTGAGAATTGGATGGCATTTATTTACAAGCCGAGCTCATAACACATGAACTCGAGTCACATTTTATATCCCCTCCTACGTAAAAAAAGACACTCTGCACACAAACACACAAAGATCCTAGCTAACCAAGACCCAACCCCAGCGGCGCCGACGTCTCCGTAGGCCGGGACCTGCCCCCAGACGCAGACCCCTACAGAGAATGGCTCCGGACCTTCGTAGCGAACAACCTCAACATAACGCGCGCCTTCTACAGCCACCCCAAGATCCTCATCGCAGCCCTCAACGGCCCCGCAGTAGGCCTCAGCGCAGCCCTAACGGGCTTCGCAGACTTCGTCTACGCGACCCCGCACACCTTCCTACTCACCCCGTTCTCCTCCCTCGGCCTGGTCGCCGAAGGCGGCGCCTCCCACGCCTTCGTCTCGCGTCTGGGCATCAGTAAAGCCAACGAGGCGCTCATCATGTCGCGCCGGATCCCCGCCGACGAGCTCGTGGCGACGGGGTACGTGAACAAGGTGTTCCCGTGCGAGAAGGGGGATGATGAAGGGTTTATGCGGATGGTGTTGCGCGAGGTGGAGGAGAGGCTTGGCGAGCATTTGATTGGGGATTCGTTGACGGGGATTAAGGCGCTTATCAGGAAGCCTGAGCGCGAGATCCTCGATAGGCAGACTGTGGCGGAGGTCTTTGCTGGGTTGGATCGGTTCGTCAGTGGGGTTCCGCAGAAGGAGTTTCAGAAGATTGCCTCGGGGCAGAAGAGGCATAAGCTATGATATGGGTGGAACATGGCTTTAGAGGGTGGGAGGGTGGGAGGGTGTATGTAATGAGACGATGCTAGCAGCGAGCTGATGTTGGTTCTTGTGCGAAAGAAGCTTTGTCCATGCTGGATTTCTCTAGAGCTGTTCAACTCGTCTAGCCTAGTACATTTGCTGTAAACATGTAAATGCCACACCAAAAACAAAAAATCTAGATATCTACATGGGTATCATCACGCGAGCAGACCAAATAGCAGGCTCGTCCTCTTCCAGTACTCCTGTGACGCTTTTGCAAGGCGCCGCTCAGCTTGACTATCCAGGCCCGTCTTCTCCAAAACTTCAGAAGCGAGGTCCTTCATCGCCTTATCAGAGTCGTTATTCCCAATGCTGAGATAGTGTTGTAATAGATTGACATCGAACAACCACTGGACGAAGACGTCTTTGCTGCGCTCTGACGTTTTCTGGGCGGCATTCTTTGCATTGTCGTCGTCTTCTTCTGATGTATCGTCCTTTTCATCTTCCTCATCCACCTTAGATGTAGGCTCCGCCTCATCTAAATTTGGAACAGGTGCCACGAGTTCCTTGTGCCAAACATCTGCAAGCTGTTGGCTAAAGATGCGTTTTAAAGCCTTGACGGCAGCTGGGGTCCAAAGATCAACCCCGGAATCGCCCATTGAAATGGTGACATTCCGGAGAAGCTTGAATGTGCTAGGGGAAGGCTGGGTAGGCAACGCTGGCTCTCCCTCCCATAACGCTCGGCCAGCCACCCGTTTCTGCGTTAGGGTTGTCGCAGTAAATTCTTCCAATGGTGCCACGGATACATGGTTTGCAAGCTTTTCGTGCAGTGAAGGGACGTTATCCAAACCGAAGGACTGCACACCCTCAAGTTTGGGCAGACGGCTTCGGACATCCCTTAAGACTCGGAGTATATATGCGGCAATCTGCCCATTGTCTAATCCGTCCTTTTGCCCTTGCCATAGGGTAGTGAGCTGTTCATCCAAGTCTTCGAACGCATTGATCAGCGTTTCTTCTAGGCGCGTGTGTAATAAACACGGGTCATCTTTGCTTAAAAGCTCCTGCCTAGTCTCAATGACCTCCTCGTCTTCGATTTCGTCCACATCATTATCCCATCTCTGTCGCTTAAGCTGCTCTACCAGTTCTCCTACATTGTCAATTATGTGATGCCATGATTCAAAACCGGTGACAGCTCGTGCAACAGCATCATTCCTTCCGTAGACACGAGATACGACTTCATGTGTGATCTGAGCAGCGCCAACAGAAAAGTCCATCCCGAGCATCTCGTCGTCCCATAGACCACGCTGGCGATCAGTGATTCCAGATTGCCACGCCTCTAATGTGGATGCAACTTCAGACCCAACGAGTTTGAGCTTTGTAACCTTCGTTTCTATGAGTTGCAATAGATGATCGTTTATAGCTTTTCGCAAACCGTCGAGCATTATAGAAGGATCAAACCCTCTAGCTTTCCCGCCATCTCTAATCCATTGCTGTAGTGTGCTTGTCCGTAGTTCTACGATGGCTTTGAATTCTGAGATGTGCTCGAGCGTCTTGCTTAGGCCGCGTAGAACGGTTTCACCGCCCTTGTTTGCCCACCCCGTAAGCATTTCCTTTGCCTGCTTCCCATCTAAATCGTCGTGCCGTATGAAAGGCGTGAAATACCGGATGTCATCGCCACACCACGTCTCGAAAATATCCAGTCTAAGACCTTCAAGAGATCGTAATGCTTCGTCGGCTAGGAGTGGTTTCTTCTTAAGCTCCAGCAAAGCCTCCGGTAGCTTGTTTGGCACCAGTGCTTGCACATCCACTAATGTCTTAGTGTATAGCTTGAGACCTCTAAGGACATTGTCTGTGCCCCTGTCCTTCTCGTGCTCTTCGTAGTCGAATTCGTACGTAATCGCTTCGGCCCTGATACTCAAGAAACGACGCAGAACGTCTCTCGTCCCTGAGCTTGATGACAGACTATACGCGGACAAAGCTTTGAGTATATCGGTGATGTCCGTTCCCTCTCCAACCTTTTGCAGCACCTTCTCAACGGCGCGCACCAGCTTTCTCCTCAGTCCGTCCAAGTTCTTCTTTGCAGCTTCGACCGCACTCCTGACTTCCTCGTCGGTCGCCTTCAGATTCCCGAAGCTAGACACGAGCAATCGACTAAGCACGAAGACTTTAGCAGCAAGCACGAGCCGGTCCCCCCTCCGTGCCTCGGTATCTTTACTTGCGCCACCCCTGAGCAGCCGGCTGACAGCAAGCCCGCAGGCCCTGAGCAACTTGACACGCGCAGCTTGACCCAATGCCGCCTCAGCATCCTCGTTACCACGGAATCGCCCTAGCCCTATAACCTTATTGTCCACGACGGTGCGCCCGCATTGACTGCCCATGTGACCCAGCACCTCCTGGGTGGCCAACATGTCTTCCCGCATCTGCACGATAGTGTCGGCCGTGCCGAGGAGTTGGCGGTAGCTATTGCCGACTTGGGTGCGTAGACGGGCGGATTTCTCATCGATCTGGGTGTGCAGCGTCTTGTGGACGGCGCGGATCTGCGGCAGCGTGTACGTCGTGAAGACCTGTGCTGAGCTTGTCAGCGTCGATGTGTCGGGTGTCGCCATTTTCAGCGTCGGAGGGGCTCGGCTCGTCCCTGGAGGGGAGTTGTGGAATGTTATTGCTGTCTGAACATTGGTATGATATTTTCCTCAAACTAGGTAGCTCTCTTCGCAGAGCTTAGTCGAATTGCTCCATAGCAGTCAATCAAGCAAGTAGAAGTGACCGATTCAAGTGGATGAGCAGCTGTTCTCAGCTGACAAATAAGTTACATAAGTGCCTACCTACATAATTCTTAGGAGACCGTAGACAAGGCTTTCTCGTTCCAATACTAAGAGCCTGACTAAATACGTATAAGCAAAAAGTATATAGACCAACTAAAAATTTACCAGTGGAAATTATATCTTCTAGAGAAGTAGTATACTATATTTTAAGATCAGGCACAAAGAAGGGTTAAGAGAAGTGCATGTCTTACCATCCGGTTATCTATAGTAGCTACATATATAAGTACCTAACTATCTAGCTTACATCAACGGGTGGCAACCTATCCTGCCCACCTAACTTATTGCGTTGCAAGAAAAAAAATTAAGTTCAAGGGTGTATCATCTCCTCGACAGGCAAAACATTATGATGAGAGTGGGACTCGAACCCACGCGGATTGCTCCACTGCGAATTATTCGTGATATCATACAGATATCAAGTTCAGAGTTTACCTGAACGCAGCGCCATAACCACTCGGCCATCTCACCTACGCCTTGGACAGCTTGGTCCGATACTATCAATAGTTCACTCTTGTGATATTCATTCAAGCCTCGTCAGAGCATCGCAATAGGAACATTCTACCGTAGAAGCTACCTAGGTACCATTCATAGTAGAAAATGAATATTGTAGTCAGTGCCTAGATCAGGTGAAAGGGTCCCTGTGGTCGGAGAATCGTAGCGAACTATTCGAAAGACAAGATCGATCTCAACGCAAGCCTCCAAATTACCAAAGTTCAGCTGGTCACAATCTTGAATGGCGAGCCGGGCATCAATGATGTTGCTTAGATGCTCATTCATCTCTCTGTTCTCCGTTCTCCGAGACGGCCAATACCTAAGATCCATTGAAATAGACTGGAGAGGTCGTTCGATCTTCTATTCTACGTTATCCTCGAGATTCGGATTCGGAATCACCGTTCCTCCACGATCGTGTGGGAACAATGAATGCATACCCAACTGTGCCGTGTCTGTTTCAGGTGAACGCTTCTATAGAGCTCTTTGACCTATTTGTTTAAGCGGAGAAAAGTGCTAGAGGAAAGAGTTCCAAGGATGAGGTTACACTTTCCTGCCGACGTTGTATTCCACAGTACTAATGGATATGATGGACTGTATAACCGAACACTGCTTTCACGAACACCGGAGGTTCGACCGCTAGGGCTCACTCTTGCTTCGCTGCTACAACCTAACTGCTAGGTAGTACCTAATGCTCCTCCTTACCTACCTGTTATTCCCTACCACTAACATTAAAGTCATCGATATCATGACCAAGTCTGATCCGCCAATCTCTTCTTTCTTTCTGATACCTTACCTCTATAATATCACACATTTCTCCCATAACTACCACCCACCAGAGGCAGCACAGCAACATAGGCCATGACATCTCGCTTCGAGAAAGCAAGTTGTTGCTTAAAATTTATGTCGGATATCTTGTGGTAAGCCTCCTACCTAGTGGCGCCGGCTCATACTATGCATCGGCGCCACCCCTCCAGGTTCATCCCCCAGATTGGCATGTAAATCATGGAGAAACCCCCAGGCAACGCAGTGGCAAGAGGATTTCATCGACAAAATCTGACACGCAGACATCTGCTCACCACTGCGAAAAGGTCGCTCGTCGGTGTGTTGATTGGCAACAATGGCCAGGAGTGATTCTCATGCTCCTGCAGCTCTATTCATGCTTTGCCCAAATCCGGCCACCTTGTCTGCGCACGGATGGGGTAGAGCTTCTTGGCCTTTTTCTACCATTTTTCCACCCTCGCCCGCGTACATGCGACAGCCTAGACTATTCAACCGGCTATCTTCTTCGGCTATGAGATGTGGGCAGTCACACCTCGAGTTATTCTGTTATCATGAGCAGGCTAGGTTACAAGGTCAGCTCAATGTCCAATCAAGTCACACACGGGTTCAAACCCGTTTGACAAAGACAGGTCGTCTCTGCCAAGCTAGCTGTTCAAGCATGAACTCTGCCTTGAGGTTCGCCACTATCGTCGTCTGATCTTCACCATTAGGCTTTTTGATGCTTTTCATCTCATCTTTAGCTCACTTTTCGGGTGCACCCGTAGTCCTGCCCACGATCCGGATCATAATGATTTCAGGTTTGACCACCTGATGTCGACAACATAGGGTCTCCACGGAGAACTCCTGCTATGTTGGAATGGATATCGCCAACCCGAAGCTGAGTGTAAGATGGAGGCCGGCTATCTGCGTTCTCCGCACCAATCCAGCGACTATGTTGCTATCGTGCGTTATTCTATGTCGTGCTTTAGCTGTCTCGACCATAATCGTCCGTAATCTGTACTAGACGTTTCGAATATCCGTTGATACCCTGTAAAAGTAACCCAAGCGGCATAGGTATTTGAGCGGACAGACCTCGAGTCGACTTGCACATTGGAGTATCTGTGATTGTCATTCGAGCCCGGCCATGTGGCGATCCGATCCGATCCATCTGACACATAAGGCTGATTTATCCGGTTGCCTTCTGATGCGGCTCGGAAAGCTCAACTAGCCCAACACTTGGTGTAGATCATCTTCAAGCGGCCAGCGACTTGTATTGTCGTGTTCGCCTTCAGGATCGCTATACTACTATATCTGAAGGCTTAGCCCTCTCACTATGAGCTTAAAGCGAGGATTAATTTCACATTCTTTTGTCTCTTCCGTCTGCGCGTTTAGCCAGCTACCATAGCACGCTTCGTTTTCGTAGCACAATATCTCAACATGTGTGTATTAACGAGCGACAAGCTTCTTGTCGTTGAAAACACCACGGTGGTGGCTATGCCATCCACTGACCCATTCAGCTACTCCAGTACCCAACAGAGCCTGGCAATAGGGATTATCATAGCCATGGCGGCTCTTGCCTTCGTTGTACTGTGTGTCAGAGTGGCTGGCAGGGTGTCATCTCACCAATTTGCGCTAGGTAAGCAATTTGCGACGTGTTTCGAATAAGTAGCTAATATATAGAATAGATGACACCTTGGTATGCATAGCCATGGTAAGCGGCCGCCAATTCCTGATTGCCTGTGAATATGATGAACTGACTAGGTGTGATTTATAGGTATTGTCAATACTGGAAACTGCTGCGAGTTATATGTGTCAGTCTTGAACGGTGCGATGATACGATTCTAGTAATGTATGCTGACCTATTCGAAGTTATCAAGACGAATTTCATTGGAATCAGATGGGAAGACATTCCGCCTCACGATCCGATACCGGGTTTGGTATGGAATTATGCGATTGAGATTCTGTACAATCCGATCTTGGCCCTAGTAAAAACATCGATACTGCTCTTTCTGCAGCGCTTATTCGGGCAGAGACCAGGTGTAAGGCGTTTTATCTTGTGGATGAACGCAGCGAATATTGGGATGATGATCGCGGTCTTCTTTGCGACCGTACTTCAATGCATCCCCATCAATAGAACCTGGGAGCCTGCTCTGCAGGGGACGTGCATTGATAGGAGGATCCTATTCACAGTCTCATCCTCGTTTAATATCCTCACCGATATACTCATGCTAGCACTACCACTGAAGATATTCATCAATTTGAAGATACCAAGACGTACCAAGATCGCTCTGATGTTTGTCTTTTTGTTGGGATTTCTGTAAGTATTTACTGATACTTTTATTTCAAGAGGAAAGTGTATGGGGCTGATCTCTCTTGCAATCTAGGACGACCATTACGAGCATCGCTCGACTTGTCCTTCTCGTTCAGGGTCTGTTCATGCTTAAGACAACATTGAGCGCCGACGCCAATATCGGCTTCGTGACATCCGCGATCGAGACGAACCTCGCGCTCATCACGGCCTCAGCACCGGCACTAAGACCGTTACTTCGGACATGGTTCCCCAAGATTTTCCGCGTTGATCGCGACGAGATAGTGGGTAACACTGAGCGCAGGGTTTTGGGCACGGCGGCGACGCGGATGACGAGACTCAAGTCACAAACGCAGCTTCAAAGCCAGAGCCCGCGGAAGAGCGAGGAGGCAATCATGACGTTTAATGGGATTATCAAGAAGAGCGACATTACCATCCGATATAACCCCCCATTGGACAGCTTGCGACCGGCCACTGCTCCGCAAGGCCTCGGGAGCCAACAACAGGTAGAAAAGTGGATATAGGATCCGCTTCTCCCTGACTATTATTGAAAATGAGTATAAAAAGCCGAAACAGTTATTCGGGGTGTGGTTTTCCGGCGTTACATGTGGAAAACATTAATTCATATCTGGTGCGCATCTATATGGTTCTCAACTATTTTGGCGTAGGGGTTTCTGTTTGAATGCATAACAAGACTTCGTTCGAAAATTATATGTACGCATTTAGCATATTTCCCAAATACACTATCTAATGTCGATCCATAATGCAAAGTATACTATGTACTAAGTAGGACGTTAGAATGGAAATCTGCGTACTATACGTCTAGACTAAACGTTGCACTTCACTGTCTTTTCATAGTGCTGCTCAAAATGTCAATTGTCTGGAGTGAAATTCATCTTGAATCACGATGGTGACTAACGATGACCTGAGAGAAATGTAGCCCTTGTCCCAGATATGGACGATGGCCCCGGCCCGGCCTTGCATATCCTCTCGAACCCCAGGTTGCTCCTGGACGGCTATTCGACGTGGTGGAGAATCTACATGCATGATGAGTTCAGGACCCTATATGCACGCCTACCTATTGTACCTACTTACACACGATAGGCATAGTAAGAGGCTGGCTGATAGGTACTTGGCACGATATGTCGTTGTGACATCCCCGCAGTCCCTATCACGTTTAGATACTTGATGCTGTTATGCTGTATAGCAGCAAGACATGTTAATTTATTCCCTTTTTTTCCCTCATTTTTTTTCTTGCGCCAGTCTCCACCGGCGGGAGATAGGCAACTATGAGTTGATGCCCAAAGAGAAGTTGGTTTGTAGTTTACCACTTCTGATCTTTGTGAAGGAACAAGATGCCCAACATGTATGGACAAACCTTTTGTCTCATGGCATATGAGGACGTAATGGGGACCTACAGATCTTAGCACTCTGTGTAAGAGATCAGCTCCCCCTCAATGATTTCCACGGTCAGCCTCTTTGCATGTCGTGCAACACATCGCTTTTCGTTTTCTCTTATCCTTATTCGTTGGTAAAAGTACATGGTCACGGGTTGCGCGCAACCATGAGTTCTAGGCCAGTATCAAGAAGAAATGACTGGCAGTTGAATATGATATGTATGCGCCTATCTCTCGGCGAAGTTCTCACTCCCTCGACATCTATGCTTTATTGTCAAGATGACGACCTTAATGGCTATATGGTCTATGCCACGTTGGTCTTGGACTTCTGAGCCCAGCGCTTTCCTATCCAGACATGTCTTTGCATGATGAGGTCAGCACAGATACTACAGATGGTATTTCCGATCTCAACACCCCGCCGAGGGGAGGCCGAGGGGAGTGTAGCAACGAATGCTACCAGAAGGGCGATGCAGCACCATACGGACTTTGTTCTCGCAACCCTAGTTGGCACA